TCACAAATATTTTGAGGATGAAAATCACAGCATTTGCCAAAGAATACACACAGCAGGTTTATTTTAATTGCTTGCATAGGGGCAGATGGTATCATATTTGACTAACCCCATTGTCAATAGAGCAATTGGAAAGAATTCTGAGATCCTAAAGACACCTGTCAGTAAACCGTTATTGTATGTTGAGGATAGCTAATACTTTAATTAGTCCATCTGTCAGGAACACATCTGTTGAGGATTTCTGATTTTTTTTTGTCCTGTGAACCACTTTGGTGGTCTGGTGAAACCTATCTTCTTTGTAAAACAATGTCTTAAAATACATAAAATAAATATGTAGAATTGCCCAAAAAATTTCGATACTAAAATATTGTTGAAGTTTTAAAAGACAATTTTGTAATCTAGCAATTTTACATTAAATATTGAGATTTGGTGGCAGTTCTAATAATGCCCTAATTTCAAAGCTGTGAGGCACATGAACGATATTTCAACATACCTACTCATGACTGTGATATGATATGAAAATAGCTTTGTTTCTATTGGTGTCAGAGTCACAGATAATGGTCATTTGTTGCAGTTCATTGAGTACATCATAATGGAAAAAATAATCAATTTCCGTCTGGCAAAGGTGGTGATGGTCAGACAACAATGTGAATGAACTTGATGCCACTGAACTATATATTTAAAATGATTGCAGTGCTAAATTTTATTTTATATGTATTTTACATTTAAAAATCTAGAAAAAATTTTGCTAGAGGTTAGTGAAAATTAAGACATAAATCTTTTCCAATCTAAATTTACAACATCCTTGAATTCCATCCCTAGCCCTAGATACGAATCCCTGACTGAAAAACCTAGATTTAAAAAACCCCATAGTCTATTAAGTCAGGTTTCCTGTGTCCCAGGTATGCCTCTACCCTAAGGGAAAATAAATGGATGGGAATAATTCCTAATCTCATCAGCTGGTTTAATTGCAGCTAAGACAGAAAGTGTTTCCTTTTTTTCCCATTGAATTGGATATTCTATATCATGAGAATTATATAGGATAAACAATTGTGCATCTGATTTGTTTTTCATTTAACATGATAGCACAAGGATTTTTCACATTGTAGGTTCTTCATAAACATTATGTTAACAGCTATGCCATATTCCATTGCATAAACCTAATGTCATTCTCTTACTCATAACCCTATTTTTGAGCATTTAGGTTGTTGCTATATTTTCAACACTCTGCACAGTACCAGCTTGCCAGGAAGGTAGACATCTTCCCATCAGCACAGAATGAAGGCATCAATCTAATTTCAAGGAGGTTACTTTTCAAATCCTATGTACCAAGGATTATTTTAAAGAAATTACTCTAAAGAAATTTAGAGGATTTCTTTAAAGAAATATTTCATGAAAAGCTATTTTAGGATGGAATTTACAACAGTTCTCAATGTTAGCAGCCATAGTGAATTTTCATCCATTCTGCCAATGTGGAGGTAGAAGAGGATTTTCCAGTGCTGTCACTCGGCCTTTCTATGGTCAGCAATAAAGAGATGGACTGAGACTGGTTCTCACCCTTCAATACAATTATACCTGGGTCAGCCTAGCCAGACTGGGTTTGAATGGCTGAATAGCATGGTGTTAGGGGGTGGTTCCTCTATGCTGCAGCACAAGAGAAATCTATTTGTTCTGAGACTTCATTAGAATGGACTTTACTGTCCATAGTTTTTCCAATATTCTGTTCACAATTACTTACATATTCTTTAAGACTGAGATTCTTTTTTACAGCTCTCCTCTTTTCCTTTTGGGCCTCTAGCAGAATGGCTCTTAATAGTCCATTTATACATTGTAGGGTTTTTTTTTCCCCAGCATGAACCTCAAAACTCTTCCAGCCACAACCCATTACCCAGTTCCAAATCTGTTTCCACAGTTTTAGATTTTCATTACAGCAGCACCCTCATTTCTTTGTACTAACAGATAACTACTGTTTTGTGGGTGGTTGATGGTGATGAGGGTAGAATTGAAAAGGAGACTCTTCTTTTCACAGTTTGACAAAAGTTTACCTATGAAGCTCTTTGATACCAAGAGGCAATAAATATTTATCTCATCTTCTCCCATATTTTTAATACCATCTAACCACAACAGTGGAGGACTAGAAAGTTATCTTATAGTTTTCTTTACATCTGAAAAAATGATGGCTCAGAAATTTTTAGGACCAGTGCAGTATAACAGATAACACTCATCTATGTAGAACTACAGGTGTTCTACATTCATTGTTTCCAATCCTTATAATCTTTCAAGATATATATTATCTGTGAGAAGAAAAAAATGTGTAGTGAGGTATGAGAATTCTCAGCCTCTCTTCTTACCAACACCAATTCCATTTTGGGGCTTTCACTGAGCTGAAATGGAGTAAAAAGTGGCAGACTGAATAGATTCAAGATTTGCTTGATTTTTACTGGATAGGGCAGAGATGAAAGACAAAAAAGTAAATCTAGAATGTGAGAGAGAAAGAGGAGAAAAGAGCTGTCTTGAGATGGTTTGAAGAGATTTGAAAACACAGTGAGAGAAGATGGAAATATTGGATATACACACATATATAGATGGGGGTAAGAGTGATTTTAAATATATTACTAAATGCTTTCAGCATTTTTGAGTGGATGAAATACATATCTGAATTGATTTTCAATTGAATATTGGATGGGGTAAAACACTTGGCCATGATGTGTTACTTTGTAGCCCAGCTTTGTATGGGTTATAGTTCATGCTTTAAAATAAAATTGCAGTCTGCCACAGCTTTAATCTAATGTAAGTAAGAATATTTTTGTGTGAAGTATTGTGGGGAAAGCCTTTGGTCTTGTTTAGACTATTTAAAAGACCTTCTAAATATTCTTCAAGCATGCCATGCTCTTTCCCTGCTCTTCTCTCTGGAATATCTTTTTTTTCTCCTTCTCTCCTTTCCACTTAACTCCTACATGTATGTCAAGACCCTGTTCAAGTGCCACTTCCCTCATAGCACCTTCCTTGATTTCACCCCATTGTCAGATGTATGAAATTGTCTTTCTCTACAGCATTTCCAGTCACATTGCAATAACTGATTTTCTGGTCACTTCCCACATGATGTTACCTATCTTGTTAGGATACAGACTGACCTTGTTTGTACTTGACTATTTATATCTTACATGCTTATAAAATGCTTGTCCACTCTTTGCTGTTCTCATAAAATATCAACTCTCTAACATAAACAGCAAATCCCTTTGTCTGTATAAGGAGTTCTTCCTGAAAGCAATTTTCATTGCAAAACATTTCTTGCTAGCTACAGAGTTGTCAGTGACTTATGCTAGATCTACTTATGAGTGTAGCCCCTGGTAGCGTGGCTGAAAAGCGATTGTCTCATCTGCTGAATTTTATTGTTTCAGTTAAAAAATCTGGATCCATTTTTACTGTTTGATGAATTTAAAGGAGGTAGACCAGGTGGATTTCCTGATCACCCACATCGAGGTTTTGAAACAGTAAGTACAATCATTTGACTGCAAAAGTGTGTGTTTTAAAACTTGCTTCTTCTAACAGAAAATAATTTTGAAAGCATTGGCTAATAGGCCAAAATTAATTTATAATTTTCTGGCTATAGACTATTTACCTTAGCATTGTAATGCCTGTTTTATATGCAGTATACTTAAATTTAAACATTTACTATTTTCAACACTCTTTGAATTTGTGCAGATATTTATCTTTAGTGTATTTTTTCTGTTGTGCCGTGTCATTAATAGTGTATGAACTATAAGCACTTCTTTCTCATCCTAAACTAAAATTTCTCAGGACTTATTGAAGTTTATTCGTGTTGGCATTATTCATATTGCTTTATAAAAGTTCTTTATGTATTAAGGAAATCTGGCCCTTTTCACCGATAGGAATTGCAACAATTTTAAGAAGGATTAGGCTTATTTTGCATGCCTCCAAAGGAAGCCTTTGAATACAAAACACAGATACGAAGCAATAGAAGGAAGAATATTTTCTCTTTTTCTTCCTTTTTGTTTTGTTTTGTTTTCAGCTAGGCTCCTACTATGTAGCCCAGGCTGGTCTCAAATTCATGATCTTTCTGCCTCAGCCTCTTGAGTGCTGGGATTACAGGCATGGGTCAGTATGCCCAGCTTAGAAAGAAGAACTTTCTCACAATTAGTCATGACAAGATAGAATAGACCATTTTCTTATTCCTGAAGTAACACAAGCATTCACTGAATGCTAGTGAAAGTGTTAAATAAAAAACAAACTGGCCTGAAAATTGAGGAAAAAGTCGTACCCTAGGGAAGAAGGCACAGCTGTGGTCACAAGGCAAGGGGAGAAATGCTCTCTGTATTTCCTACCAGGAGTTTGGGAACTGGAGAGGATTGTTTTCAAAAGGCCTGAACAGTAAGGGGTGAAAGAAACTCTTCCAGTTACTCTATTTCTCCTTAGACCTGACATTGTAATTTGTTTAGGGTGACCAGAAGTGACAGAAACAAAGAACAATCTGAAAAATGGGCAAGCCTTGCCATTTAGTTTAGCTCAAAAAGCTGTTTATAGTTTGCACACTGTTGATGAACCTTTCACCTGCACTGAGAAAAAACGTATTTTGTACCTTTCAAAATCACCCTTAAATTATGGCATTGAGACTTTCCAGATTTTAGCACCAGAAGTCTTATATTCCTGGGAAGCCCTCAGTCCTGGGCTAACCAAGATGGTTGGTCACTCCTGCTTAAATAAAGAAAAGTTATTAGTAAAGCGTCATGCCTAGTATGTTTTTAGTAAGGCTGAGAAGTGTTTTTTTAAGGTTTTTCACCACAAGCCTCAGCAGGTCCTTTGATTTGCGTCAGGAGAACAAAACCACCTTGTTTCCAAGGGTGTGCCCATCAGAAAAGCTGCACTCATAATTACTGGTTGGTAGCCAGCAGCATTTGCAGGCAATGCTTGAACAATATCCTGGAGAGGAAGGGAAAGGCCCTAGTGATTCACACCTCAAACTTAGGACCAAATTCAAACCTCCTGTCTCCCACACAGCCTGTTTCTTCTAGCTTCCTGTGAACCATTTTCAAAAGTAAACCATATCCAAAGGCTGGGTCAAGGCTGAAAAAAAATGTTTGATATTACATTCAATACCCATTTTCTTAGAGACAGAATCTCAAAAGAGGCCCAGATTGGAAAACAAGGAAATGATATTTTCTCAATATCATAAAGAATCTCTCGGTCAATAAGTGTCTTTATGTCATATTTAACACAGAGGTATCAGCCATATTCCTGCTAGTATGAGAAAGAAGATATTCCTACTAGTACCGTCATAATTTAAGATGGTTCTAGAAGCTTTGAAGCTATTATTAATAGATTAGATTTACAGATACTGAAAAGGAGGAAGAAATTTATTTATTTGTAGGTAATAAAATAAAAACAAACCCCACAGTGGTCCAATGGCACAGTGGCTTTGGTTGGTGATATGATTGTACGAGGGTAGCTGGAGGAGGACTCATGACTTGTCTTGAAGTTTTAGTTACAGTGAAGTGAATTTTAGCTTATATGTTGATTTGAGGGTGATTTGTGAGTGATGCTAACAGATTATTGGAAGGAAGCTGAATCTACCTCCACCCCTAAGACACTCCTTGATAGCACCATATTAAGAATGTTAATGAATCCTCTGAGTAAATGACTGGCTATAATAACTAGGCAAAATCAATTACTTTTCTACATGCAAGTAATAAACCCAACAATCTTACTTTTATGAATCGAATGTTTTCCTGGTAAACACCCAAAGTAAGAGCAAACACTTCTTATACAAATGTTTATCCTAGCATAATTTTCTAAAAAAGGAACATAGTATTCAAAATAATAAAGGAATGATTATATATCTGGGAATTATATATAAGGAAATTATTACATATGTGGAAGATAAAATATTATATAGCATTATTTATAAAGATAATGTAAAGAATTTACAAATATATGGACTGTTTAAATTGGGATTTTTCAACCTTGGCAACTATTGACATTTTGGATGGATGAGTATTTGCCATGGGGAGCTGTTCTGTGTGTTGTAGGATTAACGGAATTCCTGGGCTCTACCCACCAATAACATCTATCCTGCTTTTCTCAAAAAAAAATGTTTCCAAACCTTGTCACTGTCTGCTAGTGGGGCTGGGTTGGGGCAAAATCACCTGTAGTTAAGAACCAGTAGTTTATTATTTGGGGGTGGGATTTCAAACATATTCTTTTTCTTTTTTTATTTAGTGTACATTAATTGTACAAAGGAGTTGCATTGTGATATTTCCGTATATACATATAATGTACTTTAAGTTCACCTTATTACTTTTTCTCATCCCCTCCCCCTTTTAAAACAATTTTTAATCAAATTTCATTATTCTATTTTCTACCTATTGGTAAGAGTAGGGTATTAAAGTCACCCACTGTTATTGTGTAGAGGTCTATCTGCTTTTTTTATGGCTACTAGTGAGTGTTTGCTTTATGAAATTAGGTGTGTATATTTACTAGTTGTATATCTTTCTGATGGATTGTCCCTTTAACAATACGAAGTGACCTGAGCTTGCTTGTCTCTTCTGACTAATTTTGGTTTGAAATCTTCTTTGCAAAATATAAGTATAGCTCCTCCTGCTTGCTTTCTATCTCCATTTTCTTGGAAAATCTTTTTCCATACTTTCAATCTAAGCCTATATTTGTCTTTGACAGTGAGGTGTATTTCTTGTAGTCAATAAATGGTTAGGTCTAGCTTTTTAGTCCAATCTTCCATTAGCATTCAAAAAGTTAACTATTGAAAGTTAGTAGTAATTTCTGCCGTTGTGTTGATTTTGTAGCATTTGATTCTTCCTTACTCCTCATTTGCCTATCTAGTCATGTAGTGAGATTTATTCTTTCTTATATATCATGATTATGTTTAACTTCCTTTTCTGTGTGTAGGATTCCCTTAAATTCTCTTCTGCAGTTCTGGTTTAGTGGTCATGAGTTGCTTTAGTTTTTATTATGGAGGGTTTTCATTTCTCCTTCAATTATGAAGGATAGCTTTCATCGTAAGTGTAATCTAAGTTGGCATTTTCTTTCTTTCAGGGTTTGAAATACATAATTCCATGCCCTCCTTGCCTTTAAAGTTCTGCTGAGAAATCTGCTGTTGCAGGGGACATGCTTCTCTCTTACAGCTTTCGATACTCTTTCGTATTATGTATGCCTAATTTTTTTCTTCTTTCTTTTATTTTGTCATTTTTACATTTACTTACATGTGTATATATTGTTTGGGCTACCCCCCACTCCCCCTGCTCCGCACCTCATCCCACCCCCCCCCCCCCCCCCCCCGCCGTCTTCTGGGCAGAACCTGTTCTGCCTCTTGGTCTCCGATTTTGTTGAAGAGAAAACATAGGCGATAATAAAAAGGGCAAATCGTTTTTGCTAGTTTGAAATAAAGATAACTATACAGAGAGATTCCTAGTGTTGCTTCCGTGCACTTGTGTATTGCAACCCACAGTGGTTCATCTCTGCCAGACCTCTTCACTTCTTCCCAGTCCCCTTCCCTTAGTGGCCTCTGCCAGTTTAAGATTACTGTATTCACTCCTCTACAGTGGGCACATCAGCCACATTCAAGTTTTAGGTTTCCTTCCCTTTCCCTATTCCTCCCGTGCACGGTCTTCCCTTAGTGTGTGACCCATGTCCAGTAATATTACTGCATTTTTTGGGTCTATAATCCACATATGAGGAGAACATGAGATTTTTGGCCTTCTGAGCCTGGCTAACTTCACTTAAGATGATGTTCTCCAGATCTATCCATTTACTTGCAAATGACAAAATTTCATTCTTCTTTGTGGCTGAATGTATAAATACCACATTTTCTTAATCCATTTGTTGGTAGTGGGGCATCTTGGCTGTTTCCATAGCTTGGCTATTGTAAATAGTGCTGCAATAAACATGGGTGTGTAGGTGCTTTTGTAGTAACCTGAGTTGCATTCCTTTGGGTATATCCCTAGGAGTGGTATTGCTGGATCATATGGCAGATCTATGTTTAGTTTTTTAAGAAGCCTCCATATTGTATTCCAAAGTGGTTGTACTAGCCTACATTACCACCAGCAGTGTATGAGGGTTCCTTTTTCCCCACATCCTTGCCAACATTTGTTGTTGGTGGTGGTATTCTTGATGGTAGTCATTCTAACAGGAGTGAGGTGGAATCTTAGTGTGTTTTTGATTTGCATTTCCTTTATGGCCAGAGATGGGGAGCATTTTTTCATGTGTTTTTTTGGCCATTTGAATGTCGTCTTTTGAAAAAGTTCTGTTTAGTTCAGTTGCCCATTTCTTTATTGGTTCATTGATTTGGGGGGAGTTTAGTTTTTTGAGCTCCCCGTATATTCTGGTTATCAGTCCTTTCTCTGATGTATAGCTGGCAAATATTTTCTCCTACTCTGTGGGTGATCTCTTCAGTTTAGAGACCATTTCTTTTGTTGTGCAGAAACTTTTTAATTTTATGAAGTCCCATTTGTCCATACTTTCT